GTAGAAGTTCGGCACGTCTTCCAGCCCACGCTCAGCGATGTCGTCTGGTATGCAGAGGGAGCTGTAGGTCACTGAGGACATTGATCTCTGCAGGAGTGTCACCAAACCCTCTCCACCAGAGGATGCAAACTAGCAGACAGTCAGATATGTATGGAGTATAGTTAGAGACAAATACTGTCGATGATATTGAGAAAAACAACAACAACAACAACAACAACATTGTTTCAGTAATCGTCTACTGAGTGTGTTGGTCTTTTGGTACCTCTGAAAAAACTCCAGTCTCAGATATGAGACGATGTTGAGCTAAGTAGTTGATCTGCAAAGTGTCGGGAGTGTGAGGTATGAGGAGCTGAGGGAAAGAGAAAAATCTGTTAGTCTTACCCTTAGTTAACACTTACATATTAGACATGATCAATATATCTTTATTAACAGGCTACGTACCACGGTCCTTTAAGGCAGCTGTAATTAAACCTCTTCTAAAAAGGCTCAACCTGGATCCTGAGGTGTTAGCCAACTATAGACCAGTATCTAATCTTCCCTTTCTTTCAAAGATCCTTGAGAAAGTAGTCGCAGACCAGCTGTGTGATTTTCTCCATGATAATAATTTATTTGAAAAATTTCAGTCAGGATTTAGAGTGCATCATAGCACTGAGACAGTTAAAATTACTGCCTCAGACAAAGGACTCGTCTCTGTACTTGTTTTACTAGCTCTTAGTGCCGTATTTGACACAACTGACCATCAAATTCTGCTACAGAGACCGAAAGATTTGATTTTCCTTAAAGGTTCTGCACTACGCTGGTTTAAATCGTATTTATCCAATAAATTTCAGTTTGTTCATTTTCATGATGCATCATCTTTACATACCAAAGTTTGTTTTGGAGTTCCACAGGGTTCTGTGCTCGGACCAATTCTATTCACTTTATATATGCTTTCCTTAGGTAACATCATTAGAAATCACTCTGTAAATTTTCATTGTTATGCAGATGATACACAATTATATCTATTGATAAAGCCAGAAGGAACAGATCAAGTGACTAAACTTAAAAAATGCCTTAAAGACATAAAAACCTGGATGAGCTCCAATTTCCTGATGTTAAATTCAGACAAAATTGAAGTTATTGTTCTTGGACCCAAACACCTCAGAAAATCTTTGTCTGATGATACAGTTTCTCTGGATGGCATTGCTCTGGCCTCTAGCATTACATTCTCTCATTAGCATGAGAAAAGTAATATTTGATCAAGATTTGCCTTTTAACTCCCATATAAAACAAACCTCACAGACTGTGTTCTTTCATCTGCATAATATTGCAAAAATAAGGCCTATCCTGTCACAAAAAGATGCAGAATAAAATTGGTCCATGCTTTTGTTACCTCTGGGCTGGATTACTGCAATTGCCCTATTATCAGCTCTTATAAGTCTTTGAAACCTCTCCAGCTAATCCAGAATGCAGTGGTACGCAGACTGACATGAACCAAGAAACAAGATCACATTTCTCCTGTTTTAGCTTCTCTGCACTGGCTCCCTGTAAAATCCAGAATTGAATTTATAATCTCACTCCTAACTTAGAAAGCTCTGAATGGTCAGGTATGGTCAGGTCAGCTATCAGGCTCCTCTCCTGTGGAATAATCTTCCTGTTGCGATCCGGGAGGCAGACACTGTCTCCACAATTAAGACTAGACTTAAGACTTTCCTTTTTGATAAAGCTTATAGTTAGGGATGGCTCAGGTCTGTTTTGGACCAGCCCCTAGTCAGGCTGACATAGACCCAGTCTGCCATTGGACCTCCTATAATACACCTCGTATAATGCACCTTGCACCTTCTCTCCTTCTCTCTCTCTCCTTCACGAACATCCACATCCTGTTGCTGCATCTCCGTAACTTGGCTTCTACTCTGGAGCCTTTGTGCTCCACTGTGTGACAAGTTACCTTATGTGATGTGGTTGTGCTGCTGCCGTGGTCCTGCCTGATGCCTCCTACTACTACTGTTATTATTAATCATACTTCTACTGCGATTATACACTAGGGCTGTCAAAAGCACCATGAAATTGAGTTAGAATATTTTTGAATTAATTTAGTAGAATTCAAATAATATTCAAATTTATTATTATTATTATTGTTACGACCTTATTTTATTTTATTTTATTTTATTTTATTTATTTATTTATTTTTTATAAAAAATAAGCTGCTTATTGCTGGCGAAATATGAACGTGACACTCTGAAACGGATGAAAACATCTGACCGCAATGTTTGGATACTTCAGTGGGCCTGTAGTTTTCCACCACAAGAGTGGATCCTGGTCGGCTCGTAGTGGTGTCTCATTCTGGTAACGTTTCATCTCTTCTTCAAAAAGGGTAGGCAGGAAGGCAGCAGGTGCAACACTCTCCCTGTATGTCTCCCCGAACAGGTCACACATCGCGGACAGCGCAGTGGGTGGTGTTGGCGCAGCAGGCTCCTCCGTCGGTGCCTATCCCTCCGTCTCTCACCGGAATTCCACTGGATGCGTGTTCGTTGCGGAACGTCTGGGCTAGTTATCCACTGCGTGCGCAGACGCAACCAACATGCATCTGGTGGAATTTGGGGGTCTGCGTCCGGCTTGTGTGCGAGCCATTTCTGCCCGAACGGGATTCGCCGTGATATACAACGTTATTAATAGTATTAATGAATTATTAATGATATTCGAATGATCAAATTTAGGTTTGAAATTATAAAAAAATATATATCGAACTTCAAATTTCGATTTTTTTTTTTTTTTCAAATTTTTTCAAATTTTTTTGACAGCCCTATTATACACATATGATTATTGTCACATACATATACTATCATATATTAATACATACTTACATCATATTGTACCACAATTACTGTAATTATTGTTATAATGTTATTACTTAAATTAATATTGTTGTAGCTAGTATCATTACTGTCTGCCCTGCATCTCTCTCTGTGTCTGTTTATGTATCATGTTGTCATTCGGATTACTGCAAATTTATTATGTTGATCTGTTCTGTACGACATCTATTGCATGTCTGTCCGCCCTTGAAGAGGGATCCCTCCTCAGTTGCTCTTCCTGAGGTCTCTACCATTTTTTTTCCCCATCAAAGGTTTTTTTGGGGGGAGTTACTCCTTATCCACTGTGAGGATCTAAGGGACAGAGGGATGTCGCATGCTGTAAAGCCCTCTGAGGCAAATTGTGATTTGTGATATTGGGCTTTATAAATAAAATTGATTGATTGATTGATAACACTATTACATGTTAACCAAGTCAGTAATTTTGATGTTACTTTACAATTTAGTTGTGAGAAATACTTAAAATTCTATATACACACTAAAACATTATGATTTGTCAACTTAGGAAGATACAAAAATCAGCAAAATGAAAAAAAAAATAAATAAACTACAACATGAAAACCTACAACTACAGTAGGTTCAGTATTCTCCCCTCAGTTACCTTGTACAGTGGATGCACCGAGGGCACACTGCGCAGCAGTGACACTGCAAACACTTCAGCGAACAGATGAGTGCGCAGCAGGTGAGAGTTGAGTTGATGCACGTTGAAATCTGCACTTCTCACAAAAATCTTGGCAGTCAACCAGTCGTACTCAGTAGGAATCAGGATCAGTAGGAAGGAAGATGGGGTTGTCTTCTGCTGGAGTCTGCTTCAGCTGCAGGAGAAGGAAGGAGGTGTGGTTCATTCAATCCAGTTGATCCAATACCAGTAATGCCAGTAGTGGTCAGTGTTTAAGAATTTTATGTAATTGTATATTCACCTATTTACTATAAGTTTAATCTGCTTTTCAGTTTAGTACTTTGTTGGCCCCTTAAGGGAAAATTCATATTTATATATATAAAGGCCTCAGAACTCATCAGGGAAAGTGTGTGGCAAAGAAAGGGCAGAGTAGCCGCATTCATCAGTACTTCCTTAGAAGTCAGTCGAGTCAGTTGGATGAAATCCAGTGACAGGTAGAAAACCACAGTTCACAGGATATCAGTAACACTGCCACTGAGGAGGAGGAGGAGGAGGAGGAGGAGGAGGAGGAGGAGGAGGAGGTAGTAAGAGGGGATGCAGGTGACACTGAGGTTAGCAGGCCAGTCAGAGAGAGAACCATGGAGCAAAAGGTTAGAGTTGGATGGCCTAGGGCAAATGACAGCAAAGAATCAGAGATAGTTAATAGAGATTTTTCAGCAATCTTAAGTAGGCTTAGAGGAAATGCAATAAAAAGTTAGAAAGATGGGAGATATAATTTACTCATATGGTGCAGAGAGGTTTGGGGTGTATGAGAGAAAGATGGGTGAGAGGGCACTGTCAGGTAAGTAAGTAAAAGTAAAACTTTATTTATATAGCACCTTTTTTAACACAGGTTACAAAGTGCTTTACATTGACATTGGGACACAAAGAAAAGAGGGCCCCCAAGACTATAAAAGACACATTCAAGAACACATACAGACAACACACACATATACGAGCACAGCGAGCATGCAGTCATCATCCAGAGTACACACTTGAATTGATAAGTCTAGGCGGCAAAGAGAAATAGAGAAGTTAGTTAAGGAAAGGAGACAGTTAAGAAAGCAGCGGAAAAAGGCCACAGAAAAAGAAAGGGAGGGAATTAAATGGGATCAAGTACAACAATTTACTTACCGACTTACATCACTGACACTACCTGTTATTTGTATTTACATTATACATATATGTATTGTTATCATTAAAAACATATTTCAATGTGCCATCTCATACTCCCACCCCCCACAGATTTTGTGAAATGGTGCAGTCCATCTGACAGTGATCAGATGCGCAAAACACACAATCACTGCTAATGTAAATCCCACTAAATTGTGTCCCCCTGCCCATATTTCCTAATAGCTGGCGTGTTCAAGATATAGTGACAGTTTCAGCAAATGTGAAAACTTATTTTAGAAAAGTTACACGTAAAGCTTCAGCTTAATTAAATCAACTCTCTTACATCTTGGCTATTAGCCATATTTGAGTGCTATATTCACCCGAATAGCAATTGGCATCAGCTTGTCCTCAGGTGTTTTGTGGAGCAGGACGAGGGTAGCTGCCAAGTACTGCTTCGTCACATTGTTGGTGTTTGCTGTTACTCCATCCAAATGCTTGTAGTCACACAGGAATATGTTGCCTTTCTGTTTTAGTGAGGATTAAAAAAATGATTTGACTTACATGCATACAGTGTGGAAAAGTACATAAAGTAAGTGAAAATGTAAGTACAACACACAGTTCCAAATTTATCATGTGTAAATACTAAGATCAGTCAAGGGCAAGACAATCACCATCTCATCTGCCAAGCTGAACTGATCACCGGGGAAGACCATCTCGTCAGTGACAGGAAAGTTATCAGGCAGAGCTGAACAGCGTTTGATCACCATGGGGTTGACACCATTTAGATACTGGTAGGCAAAAAAATCATCATCCCTCCAGTGCTGCTGGACATAGTCTGGAAAAAGAGTGGAACTTCCAGTGAGTTTCAAACTTTAGGCTAGAAAATCTTGGTCAACCTCTGCTATCAGCTTAACGGTACACTTCATGTGAGACTAGACAATTGTGAACAATGTGTTACTCAGAATTCTCATTTTTATCTGATGGCTTTTTCTTTTTCTTTGGTGACATGGTAATTATTTCATCTTGTTTTATATCTTGTGTTTGGATTTTATTACTTTATTACTTGTTTTGGTAACAAAGCACTTTGTAGCTTTGTTTGGAAAGGTTTCAGATCAGTTTCAGATTCTCTTTATTAGTCCTCTGTAGATCAACAGGGCCAAAGGTTCAGTGAAATGTATTTGGACAGGAGAACAGGGCAGTTCAGCAATGAAACTAGCTACAATAAAGATGAAATAAGATAAAGTGACAATAAGATGTAAAATGTTAATAGACATTATTATTATTAGCATTATTATTATACATACAGAATTAACTATTCGATCAAACTACCATGATAGTACCTGATATGTCAGTCCGTCTCACTGGGAAGACCTGACTGATAGCAGCAACATGATGCCATTTCTCCCTGGAATCAACCAGTCCCTCTAGTTCCAGCTCAATCAGCCTAGAAAATAAAAGCAAATACTAACTTTATTATGATTCTGTTTGATAGGCAGGTATATAGTTTCACAGATATATAGATACCTAACAGAATTTGAGGACTTTACCCTGACTCTAGAGTGTACACAAACTCTACGTCCTTGGTGAAGGAGAAGCGGATATCTGAAGGCAGATCAAAAAAACTATCTGCCTTCATGCAGTCGGGTATTCTCTTCGCATACACGTGCCAGCTGGGTAAAAACAGAGAGAAGGAGGTGATGAACTTTAGATAGTCTACCAGTGTATGTGCAGTTTTGATTCAGAGTACACAGGTATTAAATACTAGTCACATATTCAATATTGCAATTTTGCAAAATGTCTGATAGTATAATATATTTTAATAAACTCTGGCAGGTGTACAGTAACAATGTCATGTGGTTATTAATTCATCATTATATATCAGGAATATATTCAAAAGATAAAGGTGGGGGTGGTTTGGATGCATGTTATTTTTGGGCTGCATGAAGTTAAAATGTGAATAAACCCTGAGCTCTCACCGATACTCTTTGTCTCGCTGCTTCAGCTCTTGCTTCCGAAATTGAATGGCACGAGAATAGTCTTCAAAGTCTCTCAGAGCTCAAAGAAAGAACCAAAATAAGGTTCAAAATCCTGAATATATACAGTATGTTTTCATAAATTTACTCCAGCCTCCTTATTATCCTCCTTGCAGAACTTGTCCTTCTTGTATCTCATATAATCAGTGAACAACATACAGGATGTCAAAAAATTACACTTCCACAAACCTGTTCCCTCTCTGAAGCTGTGCACCTCACTGTCAGTGATCCAGCTGTAGATGGGAAAGTTGTAGGTGTGTCCCTCAGGGGATTTCACTACCACCTTGGCAGGGAACCAAGAGTCTTTGACTAGGAAGTGCTGTTTGTCTAGCTCTATCAAAATCAGCTTTCCAATGGAGACGGGGCACTTCACCTGGAATGATGAGAGATGGTTCAAGAACATTTCAAGAGATGAAGAAAAAGTGTATTTGATGACCATGAACTAATAATTAATTAATGATACTTATTAAATATTACTGAATGTAGAAGTGTGGAGAAAATACAACCTATGTGCAATATGTGAATCACATAAAATACTTTTTTAAAGCTCATTTTGGTGATCTTCTGTTGTTTTTGTCACTTTTGTGACTGCAGGTTGAAGATTTGCAGAGCAGCACATATTCTGTTATGACCCACCTGAGCCTGAGCCTCTCTTTTTTTATACAGGTAAAGTTAAGGAAGCATGTTAGATGTTTATGTACAGAAAGGGAAATTTTCAACATACCGGTAGTTTGTCAATGTTTAACAGCCCCATATAGGTGTGGAGCCACGTGCGTTTGCTCTCCCCATCTGTGCCCACCAGCTTAATGAAGATCCTGTTTCTAGTGCCAGCAAAGGCAAGCTCGTCATGTTTCACAGTCACTTCATAATTCGCCATTTCACTCCAGCAAACAGAGGAAACCCGGTGTGGAGAGAAAAATAATAATCCCTCTCAACCACTGACTGGGTTAACTGTAACTAGATGAACCTGAGTGCAAAACAGCTTGAAAATACTGGTGTCACAGTGACATTGGCATATTATTATAACTAACATTAAATGTGTCTCTCATAAAGCATCTCTCACCTGTCAATGAGATCAAGAAGTTCCTGTGATGAACTTTGAACTACTCGTTTGATAAAAGTTATCCCCTCTGATTCCTCTGTCTGGCAGTAATAGTAACAGTTAGCTCTGCTGATGACATGTTGAACATGTATGAACAATACCTATAGCTACCTGCAAAATGACAGGAAGATAATTCAAATAATGATAAAAGAGTTTTTTTCACCATGAAATCTGAGACCATCAAAGTCAACTAAAAATGTGAAATCAAATGCCAATACAGTTTATGCAGTACTGGCCATCTAAAATTGCTGCTCCCAGCCAGAGGCTCTTGGTTTGCCAGCCCTCTTGCACCCAGTTTTAAGACATTGATAAGTCAGGTTTCAACTGACAAAATCAGCAGCTCGCCCAATGTTCTTTTGTAGCAACAGCTTTAATTAAAAACAAAAGAAAAAAAAGTCTGATTGTAAATCTCATACAGTTGCAATCCTAGTTGGACACAATTTACAGCAGTTCAAACAACTTCCAGAGTTCCTTAGAAATGTTGCAAAATAGTCATTATATAATAGGGATTACTGTAAAAACGTGAGGGCCTGACAGGTTAATTTACTGCCTATACAGAAATAGTAATGATGCTCTTCTACACTGTGGATGTCAACAGCATTGATTTTGGTCTTGCAGTCTAAATGCCAGCTCAAAGAGAGTCCTTGGCCTAGATCCTCAGGGTTACCTCGGCTTGCAGGTCCTGCAACACCAGAGGCTCTTGAGACCACAAGAAAGAAAGTCACAGGAGATATGATGAAGTGGGAGAAAGTTGTAGTGCAGGTTTTCATAGAATCTCTTAATATAATTTGAACTCAAAGGGGCTATCCAGTACTTAAACTGCTAGTTCCTGTTATTCAACCAAGGTTATCTTGACTCAGTACTTTATATACATACAATACATGCATTTTCATTAAATATGTACTATATATAACCTTCATTTTTGCTGAAATAACAGGAATATAATCCTGGCAGGTTCAAAATCAGTATTGCCAAATAATGCATCTATTCTGTAACTTTGTCTCTGGAGACCTACCAGTCATACAATTTTAACAGCTCATATTTTGGACTGTTTTGACTAGACAGCATGAGTTATGTTACATTCATTTTGGCTGAAATAACAAAAGCTGCCCATCTGGAGAAGCAGCATTAGTTTCTTTATGTAATATGACTTTGTGCAGCACTACACAAAAGATGATACTGAGTGTGGCAAGCAGAAGAAGTTCTCATTTTTAGTTTAGGGAATTAGTTTGTTTGGGAGACCTACATTGATGTGTGTGTAACAATCCATGCACCTTGGTGCTGCCATGTGAAAACCATGCATCACCAAAATATTCACTTTCCATAAGCTAAGAAATATTCAGCTTTTTGATAAATTCAGCTCACCCAATGTTTTTTTATTGTTTATTTTAACATCATGACTGTGATGTTCAAACGTCAGCAGCTATCGCCAGTTTTCAAACGCGACCTCCCTGTCGTGCCGTCTGGAGTTCCTTATTTCCATAAGCCATATGGCTCATTTTCACCATGTGTAGAGTACACAGTATTAACCCATCTGAAAATCTTTGAGGTGTGTTTTGCTGTGGTTCTATGGCATGAGTGTGGTTGAAAAACGGCTTCAATTTAATGTTCCTTTTATAAGTTACTGCCTCGCTACAATATGACAAATGTTATGATGTGAACTTAAAGTGAGCTTCCCCTGTTTGAAAGACCAGCAGCCGCCACTGTTGTGGATACCACTTGACATGCAGCACCCACCCAGAACTGAGGACCTACATGTAGTCCCCCCCTGACCTGTCAGATGTGAGGTGGGGTACTGGCACATCCCATGGATGCTTAGTCAGATTGTGATCTGGGGAATTTGGAGGCCAGGTTGATGCCTTGCACTCTTTGTCATGTTCCTCAGGCAATTTCTGAGCATTGTTTGTGGTGAGGCATGGTGCGTGTTCTGCTGGAGGGGGGCCACTGCCATAGGAGTGTTATTGCCATGAGGGGGGTACTTGGTCCGCTGCAGTGTTTGGATGAGTGAAGTGCTTCAAGTGGCATCCACATGAATGCCAGGACCAAAGGTTTCCCAGCAGAGCATGATATTGTAACGAGATGGTCAGTATTGTCCATGTCATCTGTCAGTGGTTTTAATGTTCTGGCTGATTGGTGTGTATAGTAATGTCACTTATTATATAACTATGGTAATATAATAGGTGACTTTAACTTCTACCACAGTATTTTAAGATATCTGTACTTTTACTTGAGTATGACTTCCAGGTACTTCATCCACCACTGTAAATGGATTCATTAGAGCACTGAGCCAGAGGCATGGCTGCAGGGGACTGACCCTCCGTGTTTCCCAGATGGCCTGAAATCTTTTTAAGCATAAAATGTGAATAAGATGATGCACAAAAACCTCAGGCTAACCTCCACTGCTTTATGCTCCCATCTCTTAGACTGCAGGATGTGGTGGGGCAGCCTGGTACACAATTGAAGTAGGTTATCCACCTTAAAGCCTATTTGCCTTCCGTGGGAACTAACTGCATATCTCAGTTGCATGAGAACAAGATCAACAGAGCATTGTTGCTTTTTTGTTTCCTTGTTGGACACAATCCATGTTTGTCCAAACAATTTCCAGAGTTCCTGAGAAATATTACGAAATAGTCATGTAAATAATAGGTATAACTGTTAAAAGGGTGAGGGCTTGACAGGTAAATTTCCTAACTACATAGAAAAGGTAAGGATACTCAGCAGCATTGATTTGGTGCTTGCAGGTCATGGTCCTTTTGGTGGGCCTGGCCAATGACGGCTCACACAGGTCAAGCTGAGAATCCTCAGAGATACCTCTGCTTGCAGGTCCCACAGCACCCAACGCTCTTGAGACCATAAGAAAGTAAGTCACAGGAGATAAGATGAAGAGGGAGAAAGTTGTAGTAATAATGGAAGTTAGATAGTTTGTACACACACAAAATAGTGCCTGGTTGGTTATTTTTGTTTCTTTGAAGCTAAGAAACTAGTGATTATACTTGAATGCCTTCTAAGTTAAGTAAATCTCCTCCATGGGGTGTAGTGGAGGGTATACACAGGTACACGGAGTATACCCACCTTTTTCTAGTCGTTTACAGTATACCCACCTTTCAGCCAAAAAGCCATTGAAATATACAGGAGAGCATATACCCGCTTCCTCATCTGTAATCCACCTTACCAGAAACCACTACAGCACTGACACTGTCCTTTTAAACTGTCTGTCACACTAACTCAAGAATGTATTTGTCACAACACACCAAATTCTAAAAACTGGACCAGTTGGAAGCAACATCAGACCAAAAACCAGACACAGAGAACCACAGATTAAAAGAAGTGAAGCACAATTTATTTAAAATAGTGAAAAGCACTTTCAGACTGGACTGCAGGTGGTGACAGCAAAGCCTTCAGTCACCAGAGGGGGGCTGGTTGGCTCTACAAAGACATACAAAAAGTTAAAAACAGGTCCAGGCAGGTGGGTCACCATAAAATCAAGAGAGGTTAAAAGAGGCTCTGTTCCCTCAGCGCTTTGGGTGAGCCCTTGTGGTCCAGACCTTTGTGGCGATCCAGGTAATTAGATTCCTCCTGTTCAGCATGTCAATTCAGGTTCAGGCAGCTTGGTCCTTCCATAGCCTGCTGATCATAATGTGGAAATCCAAGGTGAGAGGGGGAAGGAGAGCACACATGAAGCAGCTTACTTTCTGTTGGCCGGTTAGCCTGAGCTCCTTTTTCAGAGGGTTTTTCCAGGTGAGGAGAGGGTTTTCCTTGGCTGCATCCCAAGTCTCTTAATTGTATACTGCTAACTCCTAACTCCTGACTTGAACCGGAAGTCATTCGGGGTCCACCATGTTTAAGGCCGTCTCATGTCTCTTATTCCTGCCAGTAAGGAGTTAGTGTTAGGCGTTAGGAGGGATCTGTTAGGTGCGATGAGTAAGGTAACATGAGAGGTTCCAAGAAGACAGGACAGGAAGACAGGAAGTCTTTTTCAGCTTGAGGCCCTGACATATAAATACCCGCCCCCTACATCTGGCTCATTTGAACGAGATGGCGGAGAAACAGCGCAAGTGTACCCATAGTCTCGCTCACCAGACCTTTCTCAAGAAGTGTACCCATTACATGCATTCTTTGCAATGAAACGCTGTAATTCACATGCCTACGTGACTACAAAGAGTAACGTTAATGATATTTCGTGCAAGACTGTCATGTTGTAATTAAGTTTATTTCATTCACAACCCGTTGCGTTGTTCAGCGGACTGTCGGTGATGTGTGGCTGTTAAATGTGCAGCTGCTCATGTCCAGAACCACACGTGTTGATATAGCACCACGCACACACACACACAAACACACAAACACATTTGGCCATCATTAATTGTCCTGCATGTTATGTGAGTGGAATAATGTTTAATAGCCTGTAGATAATATTAATAATTAATATTAATATTAATTAATATTATTACTTTCATTAATGCTGTTGTAAGCTACTGTCGTTACCGTCTGTCCTGCATCTCTCTCTGTCTCTCTCTTTCTGTCTCATTGTGTCATACGGATTACTGTTAATTTATTATGTTGATCTGTTCTGTACGACATCTATTGCACGTCTGTCCGTCCTGGAAGAGGGATCCCTCCTCAGTTGCTCTTCCTGAGGTTTCAACCGTTTTTTCTCCGTTAAAGGTTTTTTTTGCGGAGTTTTTCCTGATCAGCTGTGAGGGTCCTAAGGACAGAGGGATTTCATATGCTGTAAAGCCCTGTGAGGCAAATTGTGATTTGTGATATTGGGCTTTATA